GTGACTTCAAGTGGCAAGGAGGGATGGGGAGAGTTACCCTTCACTGCAGGGTGCCTGTGACAGGGCCTTCTGCAGATGTCACTGCTCCTACATGGATGGTGCAGACGTCCAAGGAACAGGGATGTATGTCCTGCTACCCACACCCAGCTCCCAGCCCTGCAGCCTGAGGCAGAGGTTGTAGCCCAAGAGTCCATCTCCCATCTGCTAGGGGAGTGAGACAGCTGAGCAGCCCTGCAGCTTAAGAGGTTCCCTCCTAGAAAAGCCAGCTTTTCACCACTTCACAACGATAACACCACTGTCGATAATATCTTCAAAATATCGACTGTTTATTGCTGGACACTCTGCTTCACACCCCCACGGTCCACTTCACCCACATTCCCAGGTCCCAAGTGGCAGGAGTTCCACTGAAGATGAGGAAACCAAGGCTTTGTGCAGGTGAGTGTTGCTACAGGTGACGAAACAGGCTCGGAGAGGTAAAAGGGTTAGTTTAAGGCCACACCAGTCAGATTCCATATTCAGAACCCTTGCCAGGACTCAAGGTTGCCTCTGGTCCACCTCCCACATGTGAGGCATTGGGAGATGCATGTGGGTGTCCTGGCCAACCACCCTGTCCTCACCCAAACACAGATTCGAATCCCAGGGGGTGTCCTGGAAGCACAAGCAGCTAGCAGGATCCCATCTCATGAAGAGACAGGTGAGCCGAACTGGGCTCCTGACACCTTCTCACCTGGCCAAAGCATTCAGGTCCCAGAAGGGTCCAGGTGGGAAAATTCTGAGGCCAGGGAAAGAATAAGTTCATCCCAAGAGAAGGCCTAACACTCCCAGCAGGCTGGTTTACCCACAAGTCCTCCCCAACTGTCACGTCCCCACACGTCTCCCCAGGGGCTGGACCATCTTTGACCTTTTCCAGGGGACTGTTGGCCAGCACTCCACACACCCAGCAGGCCGCCTCTCAGATCCAGGAGCAGCGTGCAGCCCACACCCCAGCCCTGGGACTTTGCACTCCCCAACACCCTTCAGAGCAATCGTCCTGCGCACCCCCACTCTCCAAGCCTGCTTAGGCACCAGTGCTGCCTCACCCTCAGCAATAACCCAGCCAACTTTGAGGCCATCGCCAGCTCGTCATGGGAGCAGGTGCTACCTCCAAAGAAGTATTCATTTATTGAGGAAACACGCTGTGCCACACAGTCTTGTCATCACCCCCATTCTATCAATGAGGAAACTGAGGCACAAAGACACACGGCTACTGGCAGGGCACCAGTCTAGCTCACATAGTGGACCAATAGAAAATATGTCCAAGCCCTAACCCCCAGAACCTATGAAGGTGACCGTATTTGTTAAAGGGTCTTTGCCAGTGTGATTAAGGATCTCAAGATAAAATCATCCTGGATCTAGGGTGGATCCTGAATCCAAAGACCAGGGTCCTTGTAGATAAAGACACAAAGACGGGGAGAGGCTGTATGAAGATGGGAGGCAGAGATTGGAGGTCTGTTGCTGTAAGCCAAGCATCACCTGGAGCCACAGAGGCTGGAAGGGGGCAAGAAAGGGTTCCCCTCCAGAGCCTCCTGAGGGAACATGGCCTGCCAACACCTTGACTTCGAACTTTTGGCCAGGAACTATGAGAGAATACATTCCTGTTGCTTTAAGTCACCAAGTTTGTTATGTCAGCCCTGGGAAACTAATACAAGCAGGTTTGGCTGACTCCAGAACCCCTGTTCTCAACCCCACACCAACATTATGTGAGCATAAAAGGGAAGAAAATCTTCCAGACTCCTGGGACCACATCATCCCAGATCAAGGATTTCAGTTTGAGAAACATACACTTTCTCCTTTTTACAAACAATGTATCAGTTACAAATTGCTTCGAAAAGAGAAGTGTTATCTTCATAGCTCATAACAATTCAAGATTATCAACAAAAGCAGAAAAGTAAAAGCTCTCCGGGACAAAGATGTTACTAGGGGAAACTGGGTATGGAGCATATGGGAACTCTGTACTATCTTCCCAATGACCCTATAAACTTCAAACTGTTTTAAAGTAAAAAAAAAAAAGTTTAAGATGGAGCTTAAGTGTCTATCCTGAGCGCCGATGCCCACCTGGGACAAAGGGTGTCCCCTCTCCTCATCTGGTACAAAAGACCCAGCTCTGCCCCAGTAAAGAGAGGTATGACATCTGGGAAACAGGCACTGCTCCTCTAGTTTGGGTTTTTCAAGTCAAGACACAGGGAGGACCCTGTGTGAACCAACTGCTCCACAAACTTCTCTCGCACCCCATTCCCAGTGTAAAAATAAATCACACAGGCCAATGCAAGTTAAGGCACCTGAGTGGCTCCCCAGAGCATCAGTGCAAGAAACCCTGAGAGACAAAGCTGAATGAAACAGAGTAGCAAAATGTGAAGGAGGAATCACGAATGGGAGAGGACGGATAAGAAAGTAACAAGAGAAAGAAAAAGGATGAACTACAAAGACTCGGGGTCCTTGGCAAACACATTTGTAATTTTTTTTTTCCACTGAAATGTCAGTTTTGAAACCAGCTTCTGAAAACATACCCAGCTTCGCATATCCCCTAAAAGGGAGATCAGAGGACTGTGGCGCGGGAGGAAGCTGTGTTACCTCTTCGAAGCCCGGCATCAAGAAGGGGCCCCACCGGTCCACGTTTTCACCAGGAGCAAGCAAATCCAGGGGCTCGCACCACCCTCGCGTGGGCCCCTCTCCCCTGATCTAGAAGTTTCGCAGTCAGGGCGTTCAAACACCAAGCCCTCCAAATGGGTGAAACTGGTCCTCTGTGTCACCCCACACTGGGCACCACTTTCCAACTGTCCTTAGCAGTCCAGGGGGGTCCCCAAAGATGGCCAGAGGCTGCGCACACCCCTCCCTCCGGCCCGCCAGGGCGGCCACACCCGCCCGCTAGACTCCTACCTCTCCCATACACCAGGCCCCCTCCTTCCCATCCAGCCCCCACACCCCCGGCTTCCTCCGAATTCACCTTCCACTCTCGGCCCCCCACTTCCTGCCCACCCCCTCCCAATCTCAGGGCCCTCACTCCCCGATTTCCCACTTCCCTCCGTACTCGGGGCACCTCACCTCTGGCCACCACGCACGCCCTCTTTTCTCCCTGTGCCCCTTGACACCGTTCCTCCACACCCCTCACTTGGGCCCCCCCCCACACCCGGCTCCCTGGGCACAGCCCCACGCATCCCACACCAGTCCCCCACAGCTTGGGGCCCCTTTACCCTCCAGACGCCGGGCCCCTCATCCACCGCGTCCCTCCCACCCCGGGCCCCCCGCCCGGCTGGCCTCATGCGCAGCCCCCACGCGGCGCACGGCCCACTGCCAGGCTCCGGGACCCCGCACTCACGGCTGTAGAGGGCGATGCCCGCCGCGTCCGGGCCGGCGCGCACCTCGAGGCGCAGCGCCTGCTGCTCCGCGTGCCGCTGGATCTCGCCATTCGCGTCGCCGATGGTGAGGAGGCGGGCGCCGGGGAACACGGACACGGCCGCGCAGGGCCCCGCGACGCTCGGGCCCGCCACCCCCACGACTCCCGTGCCCGGCCCCGCCGCCGCCGCCGCCGCTGCCATCTTAGATCCGGCTCCAGGCCCCGCCGCCTGCCGGCTACGCGCCGCCTCGCTGCTAGCTCCGACGGCCTGGGCCCGTGGAGCAGAGCCCTCTGCCGGCAGACCTGGGCGCAGAGTGGGCGCACACCGGGGGACGGGGCTGCCCCAGCCCCGTCCAGCCCCGCCCCGCGCGAACGGTCGCCGCTTTGTGAGGTGGCTCCGCGTCCCAGGAACGGCGGGGGCGGGAGCGTGCGTCAGGGGGCGGATCTCGGCCGCGCGGACACGCCCCTAGGCCTGAGTTCCGCCCCCAGCCCGGCGCAGCTGGAACGGCCGCCCTAGTAAGGCGGTGCGGGTTCGGAGGCCCAGGAAGGGTGGGACGGAGCGCGTCAGGGATCGGTGCTCGGCTGTGTGGACACGCTCCGGGTCCCGTCCCGCGCAAACGGCCGCACTTTGTGAGGCGGCTCCCCTGCCCCTGGAACGGCAGGGGCGGGTCTGATGTCCGACAGCTTCGACACGCCCCCTGGTCCTGCAAGGCTTTGTGAGGCGTCACGCTGAAGTGCGGAGTCCTGTGGCGACGGGGCCCCGCCCCTGTACCGGCCCTGCTCCCTCACACTGGGCCTCGCTTTGTGAAGCGTCTGGCTGAACGAGTGAATCGGATGAGGGGCGGGGCCAGGGCCTGGGATACGCCCCCAGACTGTGGCCCCACCCCCAGCCCCAGCCCACCCTGCGGGAAAAGCATTTCCAGGTGGAACTCGGTCTCTGCACCCGACCAGAATCCCTTGGGAATGCTCCCTCCGCGGCATTTAAGCACTCCTTCCCTCTTCCCAATCATCTCCATTCCCGTCCCACAGCGCTCCTGTCTCACATACTTGGCCCTTCACTGTCTTCACTGTCTCCTACCCACAAAACATTCTTGGACCCCTCCCTCTGAGTCCATCACTTGGTCCCTTGCCTCCCCTAGTTACTCTTCCCTCCCCCAATGATGGCTGGCTAGTTGGTCCACCAGAACATGGCCAAGTGCCCCTTTTCATAAACACACACACACACACACACACACACACACACACACACACACATCCATCTTCCCTCCAAGTACCCCCCTCTGTTGCTCCAGGGCTGCATTCCCTTTTGGGAGAGCCAAGGAGGCTTCGGACACTTTCCATCTTCCCCAGCTCCCACCCTTCCCTGTACCTCCTCATTTACTATTCTTTCTTCCCAATGTCCCTCTGCCCTTACATTCCATCATTCCACCTCCTGTACCCACCAGTGCTAAAACTTTAGCAGAGACTCCTCCGTGGGGCACTGTCCCCTCCTTGTATCCCAGTAGGCCTCCCCACACACCACTCTGCCTAAATGCAATTGAGGGGTACTTCCCCCACCCACCAGGCATCCAGCTATTGGACCCCAGAAGTCCCTGGCTTTAAGGATTACACTCCATAGAGGCATTGGGAACAGCTCAACACATGCTATAATTAATAACTTAGGCATGCCAGCAAGGCAGACACACAGAACATACTCCCCAGGTACCCTATGCTCCAAAAACCCATGTAGGTTGGCCCAGTCAGGTGTGGCAAGGGAAGAGGAAATCGGAGGATTGTGCGGAGAGCTCAGACCTCTTGTGGCCCAGCTGGGGGCCAGAAGGGATCTTAACATCTCCTTTCTTGGTGGTCTGAGAAGCTGGGAATCCAAAGAGAAGCTTCCTGCATTCTGTCCAGCTTCTGGGCCAATGCCTGCACCCCCTCCCCCACTCCTGCTCCTCTGTGAGCAGAACCCCAAGGCCAGGGGTCTCTTTGTCACTGTTCAGTTCCCTGAGAAAGCAGCAGCTAGAACCCCTCAAAGTAGCTGAAGGGACCTTGGCTCCCACGCAGCCCGGCCAGTTCAAATGAGAGAGGGCTGAACAGAGGGCAGAGCACACAGAGAGAGAGAGGCCCAATTCTCAGCCTCACTGACAGGCCCGGAAGGTGCTGAATTCAGGGGGTTCAGGCGAAGATGATGTGGAGGTAGGCCTCTTCCGGGGCCCAAAGTTGTCAGGAGTCGCATTGGAGCCTGAGAGAGCATCCAGCGTGGCTGCATCTCCTCCTGAAGTCATTTTCTTTGTCCGTGGAAGAAAAATAAAAAGAACTGGGTGATTTGAGGTCTCAGGGTCTAGCGTTTCCCCATATTCTGAGTCTGACATTCCCTAGTCCATCAGGTCTCATCTCACCCACATACACATACCCCACAGCTTCAGGGCCCTGATCTGCTTTCCGTCCTCCTGCCTTCCTCTCTGCTGAATAGGGGACCAGGCATCCTGGGTTCAAATTCCAGGTCCAGCACTTCCTAGTGGTGTGACCACAGTTGAGCGACTTAACTCCTCTGTGCCCATTTTGACCTTTTACACAATGGAGAGAACCTAATATCCCCTCCTGGGGTTGCTATGAAGCATAAAGGAATTAAATAGATAAAAGCATCTGGCCTATTCATAAGCACTAAATGTTTGTTAAGTGAACAAAGCTATTACTATTATCTCCAGCCCCTCCCGTTCTGGGCTTCCTCAAAAATCGACCCTCTCCTCCACCTTGAAGGTGCCTTGTCCCAAATGCCAGTCAAAAAGAAATAAGTTTGCTAAAACTGAAGCCACTCCCAGTCCTGCTCCTCCCTAGGTAGGTGACCACAGTACAGGCCTTAGACAGCTTCAGTCACCTTGTTAAAAAAAAAAAGTCAGCCACACCCCACAGGATGTTACAAAGTCAACATCAGGGCAGCAACACAGTATATGCTGGAGACCTGACAGCTGCTTCATTTTCATTTCAGCCAACAGCACAGCTTTCTAACACTTCTAAAAGAAACCAGAATTGAAAGCAAGGACTGGAACAGATACTTGCACACCCATATTCATAGCAGCATTATTCACAATAGCCAAAAGGTGAAAGCATCCCAAGTGTCCATCCAGTGGATGACTGGGTAATCAAAATGTGGTATATACATACAATGGAATATTATTCAGCCTTAAAAAGGAAGGAAATTCTGACATGGGTTAAAACATGAATGAATCTTGAAGACATTATGCTAAGTGAAATAAGCAAAGAATAAACATTGTATGGCATCATTTCTCTAAAAAATGTCCAAAACAGGCAAATCCACAGAGACAGAAAGTAGAATGGTGGTTGCAAGGGGCTGGAGGGAGGTAAGACTGAGGGGTTAATGTATAGTGGGGACAGAATTTCAGATTTCCAAGATGAAGCCTGGATGGAGATGGATGGTGATGATGGTTGCACAACAATATGAATGTACTTAATGCCACAGAACCACACACTTTAAAACGATTACAATGGTACATTTTGTTAGGTATATTTTACAATTATAAAAAATAAACTAGAAAAGATTGCTAGAATTTACAATTAAGGAAAAGAAGCACCATGCAGTGTGTCTAGCATGCTCCCATTTGTGTTTAAAAGGGTGAGCATACACATTTGCTATTTTCACCTTTGCTTGCATTTTGCAAGACGCTCCTAACAGTGGTTAGTTACTCTGTGTGTGTAGAGAGAGAGGCCAGTGGGTAGAGAAGGGTTAAGTGATAGAAGAAAACACTACTGTATCTATAACTTTTACATATGGATATATTTCCAAAAAAATTTTTTTAATTAAAATATGTATATACTCATATAGTCACCAGAACAAAATTACTGAGAAATAAGTTGTTTTTCTGTTTTTCATTGTTTCATTTTAAATATCTTTGGAAAAAAGGAAAAATCACCAGGCTGGTGCCTTGAGCCTTGTGGTTTCTCACGGAAAATTTGAGAACTTGCCCTGCCTGCTGGCTTTTTCTTAACAGCTCAGGATTTGTTCCCTGAGCAGAAACCTCTGAGAGCTGAACAGCGTGGCGCCAAGCTCCTTCCTTGCCACCATGTGTCAGTGACTGGGGGCCACTTTAAACTTCCCTGCTTCTCTCTCTGGAACTTCAGACTCGCGTCTTCATCTGCTCTTGGGCATCGCCAGGTGAGATGGCCAGTCACTTGTCCCTCCAAGCCTGCCTCTCTCTAGGACTCCCCTAACTCTCCTCCTTCTCCCTCAGCCCGCCTGTCGAATCCAAAATCAATGCCGTGTTTCCCACCCGCAGAATCTACCTGATCTGCATCTGTTTGCTTCTTCCACCTCTGCTGCCAAAACGCTGGATCAAATCACTTCAAGTACCTGGACCAGTACGTCCACACCCTCCAAATCTGTCCTTCCAGCAGCCACCAGAGGGCGCCTGTGAGCACCTGAGTATGTTACGCTCCTTCTCTGCTCTGAACCCTCCATGGTTCCCACCACACTTGGGGTAAAAGTTAAAGTCCTCCGCAGGCCCCCTCGACTCCCCACTTCGTGCCATCCCAGTTATATGGGCCGTGCCAAGAACATGTCCTGAGCTTGCGTCAATCTTCCGCAGCTACCTCCTGTTTGTTGCCCATTTCTGAGACATCTTGGATCTCCTATCTAAGTGAGAAACGAGCTTCCTGGTCACTCCTAGCCCATGTACTATCATCTGCCTCCCCCCATAGAATTAAGAAGCGCTGAGGGAGTGAGGCCTCGTCCTGTTCTTGTCCAGACACCTAGCAAGGGTGTGTTGACCAATCCAGTCTTCCCCCCCACCCCCACCCCCACCCCCATTCCTCATTCCCCATCATGGTGCCTCAAGCTGACCGACTCTGCCCCAGGCATCCACTTGTCCAAATGGGACCTCTGAGGCCACCTCAAGTGAGACCACCTACTCCCCAGACCTGTACCCTTCTCTGTGTGGAGAGGAGCAGCTGAACATTTTCTTGATCCATGGTGGTCCATGACTCACATGTCTCTAATTTAGTTTTTTGTGTGTTTTTTTAAGTAATAAAGTACAAAGACCAAGGCCACCCCAAGATTCAGCTGTGCAGAGGAGTCATATAGGTTTAGGTTCAAATCCCAGGCCAGACATGTGTGATCTGGGGGAGCAACACCCCTCGATAAGGGGTGTATGTGCAGTGAGACCCTCCCCACTAAAATAGAAATGCACAACTGGGGCATTTAAGCTGAAGTCCCAGAAACTGAACACAAAAGTAGATTTTTATTTATACCAGGAGGGGACCACAGTGTGCATCACATTGTCACAGGCTCCATGACCCCCCAAAAACTACCAGGTCACCCTGAGTCCCCTCTGTCATCATTCTGGGGGGCTGGCCCAACTGAATGCAAAGGCAGTGCTGACCCTGACAGCAAGCACCCCCAGGGGCCTGCCCATTGCCACATGAAGGCCTGGACATGGCTGCCTCCAATCCCCCAGGATTTCTCAGAGCCAACTCTGAGATCACAAACAATTCCCTACTTGGCGATTCTGGGCTTTTCCTAGGACCCTGAAGCTCAGAAACAGCAGATGAACCCACCCCAGTGGTGGCCCCCGCCTCCCTGGGGTTAGGACAGTCTGCAGAAAGCCAGGACTAAGAAATGAAATGACTGGGCCAGCCAAGTGGCTCAGTTGGTTAAGAGTGCGAGCAACAGGGTCGCCGGTTCGATTCCCACATGGGCCAGTGAGCTGCGCCCAAGCTGAGCAGCCGCTGAGCTGCCAACAGGTGGCAGGATGGCTCAGCTGGTGGGAGCACATGCTCCTAACAACAAGGTTGCCGGTTTGACTCCCACATGGGATGGTGGGCTACGCCCACCCGCAACTAAGATTTAACACCGCACCTTGAGCTGAGCGGCCGCAAGCTGCTGACGGGCGGTTGGATGGTGACTGGACTTGGAGCTGAGCTAGCTGCGCCCTCCACAGATTTGAAGGACAACATCTTGACTGTTCTCCTTCCCCAATTTCCCAACACTGTTCCCTGTCCCCAATTCCCCAATAAAAAATAATAATAATAATGAGATATGAAATGAAATGACTTACGGTCGAGATGGCAAACAGAGAGTTATCGAAGGACATGTCTGAAAGAGAATGAGAGAGGAAAACCAGGACTGGACTGGAGCAGTTTGCTCACTGCCCTCCCCGCAAGCCCACAGGCCCAATGTCAACCCTGAGGAAGAGGGTAGGAATCCACCTCCCAGAATCCTCTTTGCTCCCTTCCAGCCCATTCTTCAGGGTGAACTGTTCACAGCGGCAAATTGCGTTGTGTCCCTCTCCTGCTCCAAGCCTTCCTTCAGCAGCCTCTCACTGCCCTCCAGAAAATGGGTGCCTCGTCTCAACTCCCACTTTCTAGAACACCTCTCAGCTCCTCCACCACCCCAGGTTCTCCCCAAAGTGCCTCCTGCATGTTTCTGCTTAAACATCACTTTTTGGGGGGAATCACCCGCCTAGTCCTAGACAGATCTGGCTAGCCATAGGCTGTTTTCCCACTGGAGTGTGGGCTTGAGGGGCGAGACCACCTGTATCTTGGTCATCGACAGAGCTCCCCCAGATCTCAACACATAGTAGGCGTTCAACAAATGTGTGGGACAGTGAAACAGACAACAGAGTTTCTCTGTTAGGGCCTCTTCCTGAACATCGCATATCACAGACAGGCTGCCCCTCACCCCCTGATGGAAGCCGGCAGAACTACACGTTTGGACCACAAGTGGTGTTCCATTTAAGGATGGTGCCAAGCACTGTGAAAGCACCCAGCTGCCCTGGTGGACAAGAAAAACGCAGTCTGTCCCCGTGGAGCTGACGGTCCAGCGGTGGAAGCGAACATTACATACACAACAGGCAATAATTACTTGATCGTGTTCTACTGAGGGGTAAGAATGACAGGGTGCCTGCCTAGGGCATGCTTACCAAGTGGAAAGCACAGATCCTGTCTAGGGAGTCAGGGAAGGCTTCCTGGAAGAGATCTTCAGACTGAGACAGGAGGGAAGAAGAGTGCTCTAGGTAGAGGGCAGAGTGTGTGAAAGGCCTGAGGACGGGGCAAGGAGAGAATGTAAGAGGTGAAACCTGGGGGAGGAGGTTAGCGGGAAAGGGGGAACGATGTGTTCTTGACCCTAAGGAAAGTCATCAACCCCAGAAAAGGTTCAGTAGTAAGTGGTGAGGCCTGATGGCATTTTGAGGCAGTGACCCCCTACCTGGGAGGGGGCAAGGGGGGGGGTAGGTACAGGAGGAAGAGGAAGCACAGACCTGTGGTGACGTTAATCTGGGCCCAGCAGGATTCTTGCTCTCTGTAAAGGGATTCCGGAGAGAGTGATGACTTGCCCATCTCAGGCAGGAGGCTTGTTCCAGGCCCTAAGCTTGACCTTCACTCCCCACCCACCTCAGGGAATCCTATCAGATGGAAATTCTCCTGCAGGAGCCCCACAAGCCAGATGACGTCAGGATTAGATAGATCCCGGGGCTGCTGCTAGCTCTCTGCCACCAGGCAGCAGGGTGTCCTGGCCTCCTAAGGCCAGGACCAGTTGGGACATCCTGATGTCCAGGAACCAGGGCATCAAGTTGGGCACTGCACAACCCCAGGGGACGCCACTCACCTCACCCCACTATCGCTATCTAGAAATGATGAGGCCCTTTTGGGATAAGCGGAAGGCTCAGCCACTTGCTCCCAGTGTGACTGAGCACTGTGCTTCGGTCCACCTGTCTGTAAAATGGGGCTATTCACAGTGCCTGCTTCCAGGACTGCTATGAGGCTAGTGGGAGCTCCAGGTTCGGAGTCCCCTAGCACAGTGCCCCACACACCTGTTCTTATTAAGTGGCCCTCCCATCAGAGGGCTCTGTTTGGTGTGGAGCTCTCACCCTACCAGGGAAGTGTCCTTCTGTTCCCAGGACCTGGCCAGCTTTTAGAGTCCCTAACACCCATCAGGAACTCCTGCCTTGGGACTGAATACTTCTTTTCCCCAAACCACCCTCTGAGGGTCTCCAGAGACGGTCTCACCTTTTCTTCTGCAATTTTTTAAATTTCACTGGGGACAGAAAATAAATAAGCATTTGTTAGATTTTGGTACTGGGTGCATCCTGGTTGCAAAGTTCTAAAAGCCAAGAAACCAAAAGCCCCCTTCAGACATTTCTGACCCAGCCTTGCTTTCTCCCCTTGCCAATTTGCTACTCAACAGGAGAGCTACTGCAAACATTTATTTTGCACAAACATTTATCTTCCCCAAGTACATGAGTAATGTGTGTTGGTAAAAACTTGAAACAAAGTGTAAGCATGTAAAAAAAATTGGTTTTTTTTTTCATGCGGGAGTCAAACCAGCAACCTTGCTGTTAAGAGCACACGCTCTATCCACTGAGCCGTCAGGGCAGCAGCTCAGCTCAAGGTGCTGAGTTCAGTCCCAGCTACAGGTGGGCACAGCCCACCACTGAACAGGCAGTCTTGTTGTTAGGAGCACATGCTCTCACCAGCTGAGCCATCCTGCCACCTATTGGCAGTTCAATGGCAGTTCAGCTTGGGCGCAGCTTGGGCGAAGCTCACTGGCCCATGTGGGAATCGAACCAGTGACCCTGTTGCTCAGAGCTCGTGCTCTTAAGCAAACTCTTAACCAACTGAGCCACTTGGCCGGCCCTTAAAAAATTTTTTTTAATGTTAATTTCAGTGGGTGCAGGGTGGGGAGATTGGGAGTTAGTGTATAATGGAGACAGAATTTCGGTTTGGGAAGATGAAAGAGACCTGGAGATGGATGGTGGCCGTGGCTGCACCACAGTGTAAATGTGCTTAATGCCACTGAACTGGACACTTAAAAAGAGTTAAAATGAAAATTTTTATATTATGTATATTTTACCACGATAATATATATAAATTTCCCCTGCCCACCACCATCATTGTACTTCTGGAGGGTTCTTCACTGCTAAGTGTAGGAGTAAGACCTCCTCAACTCCATGCTCCTAAAAAATGGGTGTGAGTAGGAGTGCATTCACATGTTCCAGGGGTGGCACACTGCAGCCTGTGGACCATGCTTTCTTTGCCTACTGGTTACCTTTCCTGATCACCATGGCAATGACCACCAGCCCAGCAAGGAGGAGGAGGGCTCCAGCCAGACTCAAGGAGACTGCCAGGATCCAAGTGGGCACTAGAGGAAAATGGGAAAAGAGAGAGTGGGCGGGTCATAGAGTTGTGACAGGGAGGAGGTGGGAGACCTGCCATTTCTACAGGTTATCTTGGGGAGACAGCCTGCCTCCCATAATCCCCAGCTATGTGGCTTGGATGTAGCTGGACTCTAGGGACCCAGCAAACCTTGTGTTTAGCCAAGTAGCATATTCCCTCCCCCGGCTATCATGAATGGTTCAGAAATGGGCATGTGACCCAAGCTGAGCCAATGAGAGCTAATTCTGGGACTTTGGATAGGCCACTGGGAAGAGAGGTTAATTCCTCTGGCCAGTATTGCAAAGCTGGTAGTATATACATCTGGAGCTGCTGGGCACAATTTTTCCACCATAAGGGGGAGAGCTTGCCTGAGACTAAGACACAGGAGAAAGCAGAACTGAGAGGTGGCAAATGGTTCCTGACATTTTTGGGCACCTGGATCCAGCCATGCCTGAAGTCAGTTTGTGAACTGACTTCAGTTCAGTGAACCAGCAAATCCCCTTTGGTTGTTGAAGCCAGTTTGAATCAAGTTTTCAGTTACTTGCAGTGCAGCCTGAAGAGTCCTGCTGGCTTCAGTCTGGGTACCAAAGGTTCAGAGGACATCTACCCCTGCCACCCAGTGGAGCCTGAGGCCCACACAGAGGTCAGCCACAGAAGCAATGAAGCTCCAGCTCGAGTTTCCTTCTCTGCAAAGGATTTGGATCCCTTCCCTGGAGAGAGAAGGGATCTCTCAGGGCAGCCAGGAGCAGATGCCCTGACCACAGTGGAAGTCAGGAGCTAAGCCAGGAGGGGAAAAGAGAGATGCACACTTGGTAATTTCACAGTGTTAGCCCTTGTTCATTTATTCATCTGGGGCAGGAGTGGAGTTGTAACTTCCCCACTCTGAGACCACTGGACCAAGGTGAGAGAAGGGGGCTCTTGAGAGTGGAACTCAAGGCCAGGAAGGACACAGAGACTGTTCTGTCATCACAACATGTGAGCCTCTGCTGGCAACAAAGTTCTCTTTGCAGTTAGAAAGTTCCAGTTGATGGTGAAGCAGAGGCTCCACCTGGAGGCTCCTCCCTCCCTCCTGCTCCAGGATTCAGAGCCCACCCTCCCCCTCATCCTGGAAAGACCACAGAAAGACAGCAGTCCTCCCAGGACTCTGTCCCACTCAGACAAGAAGCCAGAGTCCTTGCTGTAGCCACAAGGCCCTGCACAATCCTTTTTGCTATATCCCTGCTCTTGTCTCTCTCCACTTTCTTCCTTGCTCACTAGGCGTCAGCCAAGGGTGCCTCCATGTTCCTCGAATACACCAGGTGCACTCCAGCCTCAGGGCTTTTGTACAGCCTGTTCCTTCTACCTGGAACCCTCCTACCCCAGACACCCATGTGGCTGGCTCCTTATCATTTAGGTCTTTACTCAAAAGCCGCCTCTTGGGGCAGCCGGGTGGCTCAGTGGGTTAGAGCGCGTGCTCTTAACAACAAGGTTGCCAGTTCGACTACCACATGGGATGGTGGGCTGAGCCCCCTACAACTAGATTGAAAGCAGCGACTGGATTTGGAGCTGAGTTTGCGCCCTCCACAACATAAGATTGAAGGACAACAACTTGACTTGGAGCTGATAGGTCCTGGAAAAAACACATTGTTCCCGGAAAGAGCACATTGTTCCCCAATAAAGTTTAAAAAAGAAAAAGTTGCCTCCTCAGAGAGGCCTTCTCTGGCCACTCTCCTCTGTATTTAAAATGATGCACTTCACCAGGCTGTATTTCATCCTTGGCACTTTACTTGTCCCCTGACAGCAGACTGTATATTTATTGGACTCCTTGTTTATCTCCTGTCCCCATCCCCTCAGAATGTCAGCTACAAGAGGGCAGGGACATTTTTTCTTTTACTGCTGAAACTGCACTGCCAAGGACAGTGATTGGTACACACAAAGATGTATGTGGCCAAGGGAGGGGGTGGTAACAGAGCATGGAGGTTTAGTGCCTGGGCTTTGGAGGCCAGTGGAATTCCAGCTGTGCCTCCTGCTAGCTGTATGACTTGGGCAAGTCCCTTCATCTCTTGTGCTTTGGTTTCCTTATCTGCAAAATGGGAAGAATCATTGTACCCTTCACATGAGGATTAAACAAGAAAAGGTAAATCGGAATCCTGGCTCATCCTGTGACAACTTCCAAGCAAAGGGAATGGCACAAGGGAAGACTTGGCAGTGAGAAAATGGAGCCCCGGGCAGTGAATGCTGATGGGAGGGCCTTACCTGGGAAGGAGACATTCACGGCCTCACTGAGGTCTGACAGCTGAGGTTGCCTGTGCTCGCCTAGCACACCATACTGGCAGTGGAACTTTCCTCCCGCAGCCTCCCTGACTCCACTTAGGTTGAAGGTGACCCGGAGCTGGTCTGCAGGGGCCTGCAGGAGCTGGACCACCTTCTCCCCTTGGTACAGCGTAAAATTGGCCCCTGGGAAGCCCCTGGGGGCCATGCATTCAATGTAGATGGGGTCCTCCTCGCTGCTGGGGTGTGGGGGCACCAGTAGGATGGATGGTGCTGGGATGGCCATGGAGCCTGAAATGCAGAATAAGGGAGGTCTGGTGGGTGGGTAGTTATTATAGAGAGGAGGCCAACCTGACTGTGTCCTTGGGCAAGTGGCTCACCCTCTCTGGGCCTTGGTTTTTATGTACTACTGGAGGCTAGTCATCCCACCCCCACTGCGATGTTGAGGGAATCAAGTGCCTAGCATGTGGTGAGGGGTCACTGCTTTTGAGTCATGTTATAGCAGCAATGGTTGTTACACAGCAATGCAATTACACTCTCATTACTTCAATCAACAGCACTGACTATATGCCAGGCCCTGTTTTAGGTGCTGGGAAACGGAGCAGTGAATGTAACAGACAGACAGACAGACATGCCTGCCTCAGGGAACTGAAGTTCTCAAGGAGACAAGAGTGCTGTGCAGCACACTAAAGTAATGAGAAGTCTGCATTAGCTGGGGTGACCGGGCAGGGTTTCCCTGAAGAGGTGACACAGGAAGAGCTGGGGGAAACATTCAGGCAGAGGGAAGAGCATGGGCAAAGGCTAGGAGACTGGGGGGTGCTTGGGGTGTTCAAGGAGGCCAGGGTGGCTGGAGGGGATGAGTAGGGAGACAGCGGGAGGAGGGGAGGACAGAGGGGTTCTGTCTTGCTTCCCAGGCTGTGGTGAGGAATATGGATTTCAGCGTTAGGTTTTCTGCAGGAGAGATCAGTGTCTCCCAGCTGCCCAAGTCTCCTGAGCTGAGAGTTTGGCTCAGGTGAGGTCTACACAAGCCTTCCCTTGTCCCCCACCCAGCAGATCTCTGCTGCCCTGGCCTTGGAGGTGAGAGCCTCAGGGGCCAAGCAGGCTGAGTCATAGGGCGTGGGCACCGCTGTCTCCAGCGGGGTGCCATTTCTGATATCCGTGATGTGGGGCTAATGAGGAGCCCAATAAGAGAAAGCCATGCTCCTAGGGCATTTCCAAGGCTCTGGGGCAAATCTGTCAGAGTTCAGCCTTTTCCACCCCTCCCCGGGGAGAGCAGCCCTATACAGGTTTCTGCCCCCGGACCAGAGGCCAGGTGGGCGGGCATGGGAGGGGGGCAGTATGGGGGCGGTGCAGGGGTGGCAGGCTCACCAGCTGCAAAGAGCAGGACAGTCCAGGGCATAGCTCCTCCTGCGTTTGGCCAGGCAATCTGGCTGAGGCCAGCGCGGCCCACGGATCACCACAGCTTCTCTGAGGCCAGAGAAGGGAAAGGAGAAGCTGGGCTAATCTGAGTCGAGTGTTTCCTCACAGGCAGGAAGTTGCACATGCACTAGGGTGCTGAAAGGGACTCTCTCCTCTCCCCACCCCTTCCATGGGAACACAGCAGACCCTGGCACCTCTCCGTGCCTTGGTGGCCATGGTTCTGCAGATGAGAGGGACAAACAGATGAGATGGTTGGGGGTATGTATATATTTTTTCTAACCCTGAGAGGACTCCTGGGTATGAGGAAGGGTAAGGACCGTGGGCTGTTTGGGAAAGCCCAAGACACACACTGCGGCCTAACTGGTGCCAAAATTGATACACACATTGGGCAGAGGTAGTAAGGCATGGTGGTTAGAGCTTTGCCTCTGTGACCTCAGGCAAGACATGGTCCTTCTTTCAAAGCCTCATCTTGCTGCTCTGTAGAATGGGGCTAAAAGGAGCAGACAGAAGATCCAAAGAACTCATGGTATGAAGTGCAATGCCTAGTGGGGTGTGATCCTTCCCAATGTGAAGCCACAGGAAAGAAAAGCCTCAGGAGATTCACCAGCCCGGTGAAACATTAGTTCCAGACTGAGGTAATGATATTCTTTGCAGGATAAATTGCCTCCCATTTACAGAAACTTCCGAAGGTCTCTCTGACCAGTTGGTTTGCTTAGGTCTCTAAACATTTCTATTCAAATCAAGCAGGTCCACTTGGGAGTTTACACCCGGGAAGGATGCGAGTGTGTGGTCACCAAACACTAAAAAGGGCATTAGAGTAGCCTTTTTTCTCTGGACACACAAAACTCATTCTAACCTCAGGGCCTTTGCACATGCTGTCTCCCCTGCCTGGAATACAATTCTATCATCCTGATCAAATCTCACTTTTCCTTCAGGTCTCAGCTTAAATATTACTTCTGAGAAATCTTCCCAGATCCTTCTAGACTTAGAAAAATCCCCTTGCTAAAGTCTCCCATACTGCCTTGTATTTTCTATTTGTGCAATTAGCATGCTTGTTTCCAAGGAATTTGTCCATTTCATCTAAGTTGTCAAATTTTTTGGTATAGAGCTGTTCATAGTCCCTTGGTATCATTTTAATGTCTGTAGGGGCTGTAGTGATGTTCCCTCTTTCATGCCTATTGATACTGTGTTTTCTCTTTTTTCTTGATTTGTCTTGCTATGGGCTAATCACTTTTATTAATCTTTCAAAGTAGCAACTTTTGACTTTGTTGTTTTTCCTCTATTTTCTATTCCTTTGCTTTTTGGTCTTTATTTTTTCTTCTATTTATCTTGTGTCTGATTGGCTCTTCTTTTATTAGCTTCTTAAGATGGAAGGCTTAGATCACTGATTTTAAACTTTTATCTTCTAATATAGGCATTTAAAGCTATACACTTCCCTCTCAGCACTGCTTTAACTACATTTCACATTTTGATATATTACGCTTCATTATCATTGTTAGAAATGTTATCTTATTTCCCTTGAGAATTTTTCTGACCCATTTTTATTTAGAAGTTGTGTCGCTTAATTTTTTTGATAATTTAGTAATTTTTTAATTTAATTCCTTTGTGGTCAGAGAATATGCTCCATATAATTTGAATAATTTGAAATTTATTGTTTTTTTTTAATGGCCCAGTATATCTTGATCCACAGTCTATGTGCAGTTGTTTGACATAATATTCTATAAATGTCAATTAGATTAGGTCAAGGTGGTTCACAGAACATGCTTGAATTTATTGAATTCATCCAGCACTCTTCCTCCAGAGGTACAGAGATGGGGTCCTTGTTGTTTCCTGAAGTTTCCCAATGCCTACCACAGTGCTTGGCACACAGTGAACCATAAATATTTCTTGATTGTATGACCTGAAAGCCAAAAAAACATTCATTCAGTATTTTTTTGGTTCTATCTTATGTGTGTAGGAGAGAGTTGAGATTCCTGGCTTTGATGTGTAGGAAACAGAACTGAGAGATTCCTTCCAGATATCTGACTCCAAAAGCCTGAGAAGGAGATGGAAGAAGGGCATTCTAGGTAGTGGGAATAATATATGTAATGGGCCTTAGATGTATGTAAGGACTTCATCCTGGGAGCATTTCGTATGGTGCAGGAATCTATAACCTGGAATTCTGAGTTCAGAAAAACACTCATACATGCCTGTATTGGTCAGCTCTCACACAACTTTTGCACTTAAGAGAGACAACTGAGGAGTCGTGCGCAGAGTGAAGGGAAATCAACGAGAGATGGTGACTTCTGGGGTTCTGGAAGCTGTTACCAGCCCAGACCTGAAGTTGCCAGGGAGGAAGCAGTCCTGAAATTTGGAGAAAGATAGAATTGCAGGCTTTGATAGAGAGATACAGACCAACAGGGTGGAAGCCAGGGGATATATACCTAGACTTATCTCTCCTCCAGGCCTCAGATCTCCTGCCAGGGCTGAACCCAAGTGGCAAGGTTGATCCAGTGTATAGAGATCAGCCTCCTGGGGCACGGAGTGGTACAGGGAAGAGTGAACAACTCTGATGGAGGGTACACAATGACTGTCGGGCACATACTCTTGGAATCTTTTGGTTATAATCTCAGGGGATCCCTGAACTTCAGAAGCCAGTCTACAAACTCCCCATGGTTGTAGAACCCTAGGCTAATGGGTACGTTCTGTCTCAAAAGTTTGCCAACCCCTGGAAGAGCCAATCCTGTCCCTCACAACAATTTAAAAATTATTCGAGAGCCATAAATATATTTTTACAAATAAGGAAAATTTAAAGTAATATTAAAAATGAAACTATGATAGTTTTATTTTCATTTTCAATTTTACTTCAGAGCCACATGTGGCTTGCAAGCTGCAGTTTGCCGACCCCTGGAGGCTCTTCTGTCTCAAAAGTATGCCGACCCCTGTTCTGGGCCAATAATACAAAGGGACCCTACATGATGTGGCTTTTGCTGATTGCTCCCATCTTTTCTCTGGTTACTTCTCTCACTGTCATCCCCCCTTCACCTCCTTTCTGCCCCTTGAACCCTCTCAATGCTTTCCTACCTCAGGGCACTGTTCTCTCTGCTTGCGTTCTCCTGTCCTTTCTACTTCCAATCTGAGCTTCAATGCCACCTCCTCAGGGAAGCCTTTCCTGACTCCATCCAGGCTAAATGAGCCATACCACCTACAACCTAGCATTTACTTCTTAGTGCCTGTGACTACCTGAAATCATCTTAGTGGAGTGACACTAGCATAACAGCTCCACAAGGACATGGACAGTGTCTGTTTGATTCACAATGTCAGATCTCAGTGAATATTTGTTGAATAATGGGGGGGGGGGAAGAGTTTTTGTTTTTGTTTGAGGGAAATAAGAATCACCCATTCAGGTCCCAGATGTCAGTGAAAATGAAGGAGTCATTAGCTCCAAGTCCCTCCAGAAACATTGACAAATCAAGCAAAAATGGTCAGAATCAACTTTATCTGAACTCTGGAAAAGAGCCAAAGGTTTATGCCAATGAAGCAAATGCTCAGTGAGGAAAAAGACAACGTGAACATGGCAGAAAAGCTTTGTGGTGTTTTCCCTGTGTTTCCCTCATCTCCTTCCCCAGCAAGGCAGGTCTAGAAGATATCAGCCTGTGCTCCCCAATATGGGGCCCTGATCCCTGGTTTCTGAGGGAGCAGAGCAGCCCTCCTTCTCACAGTCTTGTTTGTCTGTTCTGACATGTCTGGGAGCTACCTGCAGGACTGACTCCAGATACTTGTCTGTTTGACTCAAAGTGCGCCCCTAGAAAACGCTGTAAGGCAAAGTAAGACCCACAGCCACCTGGGCAAAAGATTACAATTGAGGACAATGATAGACATGCCAAAAGCTGGGAGGAAAAGCTGGGGTGAGAGTTGCTTTAGGTAATTAGAGCATTCAAAAATACCTATATATACTGGGGAATTTAGGAAGCAACATGCATGCCCAGAGCAGAACAAATTCTCAGAAAAGACCTGAGAAGACAAGCTTTCACCTCTAGCGGATCTCTAGGTTCAGCACAAACAGGAAGTGAAGGTTAAGGCAGAGCTGAAAAAATGCTCTGGCAAAGTATTGAAGGAATGCTTCATAGATCTGCAGAGTGGGAGAGGTTTTTCCCTGTTTCTTTTTCTTCCTTTTTCTCTCCATAACATATAAGTAACTCTTATAACTTAACAGTAAAAAGATAGACAACCTGATTTAAAAATGGACGAAAGACTTGAATAGACATTTCTCTAAAGAAGATATATAAATGGCCAACAAGCACATGAAAAGATGCTCAACATCATTATGGAAACGCAAATCAAAACCATAATGAGATACCACTTCACATCCATTAGAGTGGCTATAATTAAAAAAAAAGAAAATAACAAGTGTTGACGAGGATGTGGAGAAATTGAAACCCTCCATACATGGTTGGTGGGAATGTAAAATGGTGTAGCCATTGTGGAACAGTTTGGCAGTGCCTCAAAAAGTTAAACATAGAATTACCATATGATACACAAATTCCGCTCTTAGGGATATACACTAGGAACTGAAAGCAGATATTCAAACAAATGCACATGCATGCATGTTCATAGCAGCATTATCCACAATAGCCAAAAGATAGAAACAACCCAAATATCCATCAACAGATGAATACCACAAATAGCGGTATACCCATACAATGGAATATTATTCAGCCATAAAAAGGAATTAAATACTGATATATGCTATGATGAGAAACCTTAAAAACATTATGCTAAGTGAAATTTGCCAGTTACAAATGACTACATATTCACTTATATAAAATATCCAGAATCGATAAATCCATAAAGGGAGATTGGCTGTTGCCAGAGGCTGGGGTGAGTGGGGGTATGAGGAATAACTGCCTAATGGGTACAGGGTTTCCTCTTCAGCTGATGAAAATGTTTTGAAATAGGTAGAAGTAGTAGTTGCACACTGTGAATGTACTAAATGCCACTGAGTTATTCACATTAAAAGGGTTAATTTTATGCAATGTGAACTTCACCTATAAGAAAAAATCCATTTAAAAAAATCACCCATTCTCCCCAACCACTTCAAAACGTCCAAGCAGAGTCTGAATGACAGAAAAACTTGAAGTAAAACGGAATACCAAAGATGACTGTACATAAACTTTGACATTTAAAAGTGGTGTTATGTCCCCAAGTTCTCCAAATGCAGAAAGGAAATGACAGCCACCAGCTGTATTTGCAGAGTAACTGTCACCACCTGCCAACTTCTTCCAGGCCTATCTTTAAAAGACTCAACATTTCTGTCTAAACATTTTTTTCTTATATTTAGACAGAATGAACCAGCAGAGTCCATTTCTCCAATGACTTCTTTGCTTATCTGTCTGCTTCCCAGAGGAAGGTCGCCTCCAAATCCTCTAAGCCAGACTGAAAGAGAGGTTAAATGGTTGGATGATAAACCTGGAATATAACAAATAATATTTACTGAGGACCTATTATGTGCCAAGCACTGAACAAGCATTATCTCAATCTTCATAGCAGCCCAATGAGGTTGGCCTAGCATCACCCCCATTTTACAGATGAGTACATTGAGATCCAGTAGGGTGACTGCCTCAAGTAAAGGGTGGGGCATGGTTTAAACTAGGTTCCCAGGCTCCCATACCCACTGTTCACCTTTTCTCTGCTGACTCTAAGCACCTGGGCTGTTCTTCCCCCGGGCCACTTCAATCACTCTGCTTACTGGCCGGGCCCCTCCCTGAGTTTGAGACCCTTGGGGTGCGGCGTGATGCCACGCCCCTCTGTTGACTGCAAGAAAAACCAAGAGCTCACTATGGGCCACTCTCATCTCACGAAATTCTCATCACCTCCAACTTACAGATGAGGAAACTGACAACAGTGATGATTCTAAGGCGCAAAGGGAATAAGGGGTTGGATTCCAATCTGGGGGCCACGCTTACATATCAGGGGAAACATAACACCCGGTTAATATTGGAAAAGTCTCTGCCCGGCCCCAACTGAGCCTTTTTATACGCGAACCCTACGGGTCGCGTGCAGGGTTACGTCCTGCCTCTATTTTAGTCGGGCTCCACACAGTATGAATCGCCCAACTGTCCTGACCCGCGGCGTATTCTGGGAAAACCGCAGGGCTGTGCGTTATTAGGACCCGGCCACCTCCACTTTAGTTGTCTTAACGTTTGCCTGAGAAGAACATATCACATGGTACTTATTTTTCTTATTTTCCTTCACCAGCAATTGAGACTAGAAGTGGATGCCTTTCAGCAAAACGTCTCTAAAAAGTTTAACTTTCTCGGGAGCATCAGGGATTCATTCGGGCAACTACACTCTCAGAGGTTCTTCACTCCGGACTCCGCTGGTTTCGGACAACCGGGAGAAGCTACTGCCAATGAGCTCCGCCGAATAGCAGAGGGGGCAGGGCTAGCCCTTAAAGGAGCCGCGACCCGTTAGCAGACCCGAGGGTGACCCGGATGATGGCGGCCAGCGCGTCCCTAGCCTTGGCCTTGTGGCTACTGCCGTCAGTAGGGGTGGGAGGGGCAGGACCCCCACCAATCCAGGACGGCGAGTTCACGTTTCTGCTGCCTGCTGGAAGGAAGCAATGTTTCTACCAGTCCGCGCCGGCCAACGCAAGCCTCGAGACCGAGTACCAGGTACAGGGGTCCCGGGCAGGGTAGCGAGCAGAGCCAGGGGAGGAGGCGTGGCCAAGCAGTGAGGCTTGCATTAAAGAGGGAAAGAGGAGGAGCCCGTATGGGGGCGGAGCCCGGGCGAGCTAGACGGAGGGGATGGGTACAACGCGTGGGAGCGGAAGGGGTGGGAGTAATGGAAGGCGGGGCTAGAGTGAGACAATCAGGGGGCGGGGCCATCAGGAAGATCTGAAGAGCCCTTCAGGGGGCCGAACCCTCGTTGGTGGGCGTGGCCAAAGGGTTGTGTAGGATTGAAGGAATTGGTAGGCGTGACCAGGATTCGCTACGAGAAAGGGCGTGGTTTTTCTCCGGGCTTGGGATAAAGGCTGGAACCTGTGTCTCATTTGGGCCGTGGCCAAGTTCGGAGTGTGGCCAGGTAAACGTCGATCAAGGACTCCCGATGGGGTCGTGACCAGATGGAAGAGCCGATCCCTAAGTTGTCCTATCAGTGGAGGCGGAGCCAAAGCAAGGGGCGCGGTCCGAAGGAAGGATGGGGGTAGGACCAGGTTGCAGGTGTAGGTGTCAGCGCACAGGTAGGCCCCTGGTGGTCTCTGTGGGTCCGTGCGGGTGGTCCAGCCCTGGCCTTATCTGGCCAGTGCCCTTAGCCTACCCCTAGCCCTCTACTCGCTCTTACCTGCCCCCCAGGTGATCGGAGGTGCTGGGCTGGATGTGGATTTCACGCTGGAGAGCCCTCAGGGAGTGCTGCTGGTCAGTGAGTCCCGCAAGGCAGACGGGGTGCACACGTGAGTTAAATCTCGCTGCCTGATGAGGTTCGGTTACAGCCCTGCCCCTCCCCCAGCGGCCTCGGGTTACCGCCCTGACTGTTAGCAAAGTCCAGCAGGGCGGCCATTCAGGGTCACGTCTGTCTGCCCAGGGTGGAGCCCACGGAGGCCGGGGACTACAAGCTGTGCTTTGACAACTCCTTCAGCACAATCTCTGAGAAGTTGGTGTTCTTCGAACTCATCTTTGACAGCCTGCAGGATGATGAGGAGGTTGAAGGCTGGGTAGAGGCTGTGGAGCCCGAGGAGATGCTGGATGTCAAGATGGAGGACATCAAGGTACGCCCAAGCTGTGCTGGGGCCACCTCTCCCAGATCTCTGGCATTGGACAGCAGTGTGCCCCTGCCCCACAGTGGCTGGGGTCCTCCTTGACCCGACCCAGCTTTCTCTAGTAGCGGTGTTCCCAACTTTATTATATTAACAGTAGCAACTCACAGTTAAAAATATCACATTTCTATGTGTAAACCGTTTTAAGGGCTTAAATAATTGATTAAATCTCCATAACCACCTTGTGAAGTAGGTAATGTAGTCTAATCACCCCCATTTTATTGAGGCACAGGATGGCTAAGTAGCTGTCCTAAGGCCACACAGCTAGCAACTGGCAGAGCCAATATTTGAATCCAGGCAGTCTGGCTTCAGCAACTGTGCATTTACCACTAGTAAACAGGTTCTTTACACTTAAGCATTCAGTTCTCACAATAATCCTGAGGGAATTGAGGCCCAGATAGGGTAATTAACTTGCTCATGGTCACATATCCAGTGAGTGGCAGAATGAGGATTTATAGACTCAGGCAGGCAGCTTGGTCAGTCTGTGCTCTCAGCTCTCTCCCGCTTAGCAACATGGACTCTCACCCCATTTCCTCGTTTTGTTGGTCTCTGCTCCTCAAAGGACTGAGGCCTGACCCTGCTTCTCCCTGTGCCCCACAGGAGTCTATCGAGACCATGAGGACGCGGCTGGAGCGCAGCATCCAGATGCTGACACTGCTGCGAGCCTTTGAGGCACGTGACCGCAACCTGCAGGAGGGCAACTTGGAGCGGGTCAACTTCTGGTCAGCTGTGAATGTGGCTGTGCTGCTGCTGGTGGCCGTGCTACAGGTCTGCACACTTAAGCGCTTCTTCCAGGACAAGCGCCCCGTGCCTACATAGCCCCTGCCCCTGAGGAAGAACAGGGAAAAGGAATGGCAGCAGGGTGCATGCATGTGAGACTTGGGGGTCCCTTCCTTAACTTGGTTTCCTACAGGAGGGAAGGCTGTGCAGTCCGGGCCTGAAGTGTGGCCCCTCTGCGTCTCTTCCCTTCTGGGCCGGGAATACCAGCTGGCTTGCAGGCATGGGCCATCCAGAATGGGTGGCTTAGTGGTTGCACCTGCTTCCTTGGAAATCATGCATGGGGGCATTGCATTTGAATGCAACCCTGAGATTTTTCTGGCCCCGCCTGTCCCCTACTGTAAACGTGCCTTAGCCTGAGCCTTCCAGCTGCACCAGCACTGCCTGGTGCGGGATTGGGCCCAGGAAGCAAACTTCCCCTTCCCTTCCCCACTGGCCCTATGAGCCAGGTCGTTGTGAGGGAGGCTTGCGGCTCATGAGACTCTATGCCTTCCTCTCCTTGTCGCTCAACCTGAAGCCTGTTGCTGCTGTGGGGGCGGCCTGCTCATGCCAGGGGCTGGGAAGGAGACGAGACTGCAGTGTTCTTGCCAGGACAGTCACTTTATTGAGAGGAAGGGACCCGGCCCCTTGGCCCAGCAGTGACTGGGTGTGAGGTCTGGTAACAGAATTCCAGGAGTGGGGCCTACAAAACCACCCACCCCTCCCACTCTCCTGGCAGGGGCCCCAGACAAGGCTGAGGGGTAGCCCAGCCTGCACAGGAGCCTCACAAAACAAAGGGTGGTCTGCCTGGAGACTGGAGCCAATAAATTATGATAAGAAAATCACAGAGCCTGGTGATTGGGGCTCAGGGACACCAGCTGGGACAGACCTGCCCCCAAGGGGGCAGCCAGGCAGGCGGGAGAGGTCTCCCACGAAGCTCAGAAGAAGGGTCTGGCAGGAGCTGATGGAGGTGGTCGCCTGGGCATAAGAGAAAAATCAGAAAGCAAAGTTTAACTGTGTCGCTACAGGCTGGGCCAGGCCTGGGGCCCTGCGAGGGGGTACTGCTCAGGACTGCAGGGTAGCGGAGGGGCCTGACCACTGCAGTTTGGGATGGAGGGCCAGGATCCCCTCTCCCTTCAGTGATTCTGACGCCTGCCTGAGGCGTGCGTGCGTACGTGCGTGCGTGTGTGTGTGTGTGTGTGTATTGTGGTGGGGATTATCTGCCCCAACTCCTGAGGTATTAAGGAAAGCAAAAGCTCTCCCCTCTAGAGCAAGGGTCAGCAAACTGCGGCTCACGAGCCACATGTGGCTCTTTGGGTACGTACATGTGGCTCTGAAGTAACATTGAAAATGAAAATAAAACAATCAGTTTCATTTATAAAATTTTTAAAGGATATTATTTACATAATGTTGACTTCATTTGTTTTATGGCTCTTGAATAATTTTTAAATTGCTGTGAGGCACAGAACTGGCTCTTCTATCTACAAAGTTTGCCAACCCCTGCTCTAGAAGTGAACCCTCCACACAAGAGCAGAGGCCCCATGAGTGAGGTGCGGGGGAGCCCATGGTAGGAGGGGTGGGGTGGGGTCCTCTTCAGAGGCCTCCTGGGGGAAGGCAAGCAGCAGCGCACGTCCTCAGCCTGAACACCAACACAAAAGGCCCACACAGCAGCCACCAGAAGCTTCTTCCCTTTATTTTAGTTTATTAATAGGATACAGAGTGCAGGCACTTACAGTGGTCAAACCGAGCGAGGAGCGAGCGAGGTCTGCTCAGAGTGGCAGCCTGGGGCCCGCCCCATGGGGGAGGCCTTGTTGGGAGCCGAGAGGCCCCCCACAGCCTCCCCACCCACTCAGCCCCAAGCCCAAGCCACCCTGGGGACCCAGGAGAAGGGAGCGGAGGGAGGAAAAAGACAGCGAGGCCGGCAGAGCTGAGGGTTCCGGACCTGGCAAAGGCACCTCTGGCAGCTGAGGCTGGGCCGTGTGGTTAATACGGCCGAGGAAGGAATATGTACAACTCAGGCAGGGCAGGCAGCGGTAGGCCTGCTGGGCCTGGTTTGCCACCGGGCAATCCCACTGCTGAGAATCGGACACACTCCTTGCGCCCCAGCAAGGACTGAGGGCACGGGCACAGGCACCCTTGGTGCCCAGTTTTGAGAAGGCCTGGTCTACTCAGGCTTTCTAATCCAGAGAAGCCCCGTGGGCAAGTCTCCCCCAATCCCAGCTGGGATCCCTCATTCAAGATGGCGCTCAGGGTACAGCTCCCTCCTCTGCTACTAGATGCCCCATCCCCCAAAGTGCAACACCCCAGTTGCCCCTGCCCCAGGGCTGCAGGGCCCCTTCATTCAGTGCTGTGTCCAGATGGGGATGGGGGCAAGGCCAGCCCCTGACTAAGTCAAAAGTTAGGGAAGAGTCAGGGAGCCTGGTCCTGACATGGGGATGGAGGGCGAGGAGTGGCAGAGGGGCCCAGACCACTGAAGCTCCTGCACCGAGAGTGCACAAGGACCCCCCCAGAACATTCCCCCCGCAGCCTAGTCGAGCAGGGATGGCTCGGCTGGGCGGATAATGGTGGGCCGGCTGGGCGCAGCCGGGGGTCTTCTGCTGCAAAGAGAATAAAGACAGACAGGGAGGGGGAGATGCCAGTGAGGCTGAAAGCAGGGCAACAATGAAGACCCAGGCCCCACCACCCTGCCCCAGGGTGGTGCCCTCTGCTAGAGGCTCTGAAGGCTGCCAGGAGTTTGCCAAGCCCCCCGCCGTCCCTCGTTCTGCTACCCTGGACAAGTCGCCCACCCACCCTGGACCTCAGGTTCCTCATGGGACAAATGGTGCGAGTCTGGCATGCAGGGTGCAGAGAGGAAGGACAGGGTTGTGCCATGACTGACGTGTGTGTCCTCAGTAAGGAAGCAAAACCAAAACCGGGAGAAGAGTCCCCATGTAAAGAGTCCCAAGATACGTGAGTCTACCCACTGAGGCAGAGGATAGGCCTAGAGCCCTGAAGTCACCTGACACTACCACTCGGTGATTCTCGGCAAGGGACTTGGCTTCTCTGGACCTAAGTTTCCCCACCAGTCAAATGGAGATGCTGGTGACTCCACTTCCTGCAGAGTGCAGGCCAGTGGCTCTAGATGGCAGGTAGTGAGGGGGGCCAGCTTACCTGGGCACTCCGGGGGGGATGCCGGGTGGAATCCGAACAGGCCGAGATGGGATCTGAGGCGGGGCCGAGAAGGGGTCATTATTGGCAAACACGCTCTGGGGTCCAGGCCGGGATGGGATGGGGGGCGCTGAGAAGGAGGCTGCGGCCCCCACTGGCACGGGTATCATGGGCGGCCCCGGGGTGGGGCCCCTCACTGCTGGGGGCCGGCCTGGGGGGTGCACGCTGGATGTGGGTCGGCGCTGTGGAGTGGGGCTGTGGAGGAAGGAGAGGGTGTGAGCTGGAGATGATGGCCAAGAGCACCAGTCATGCCAACGTGGCCGCAGAAGCCTGAGGCGGGGCAGGGCTGCTGGCCGCCATGGCTGCCTCTGCAACGTGGGCTGGCACCAGCTACCACCCGGGGAGATGTGGGTGAATGCCTGGTCCTGGGCCAGGGGCAGTGCAGGTGCACTGGGATCCTCTGGCCATCCCAACCTGCTTAGAGATGGTTGTCCTCCCACCCAGAACCCTTGGCTCCCAAGGGTTCCTGCTTCCCTGACCTCACTCCCAGACGTTTCCCTCTCACGGGCCCAGCTCGGGCCTCCCTACTTCCATAAATCCTTAAATCTACCTTCTGTAGTCCAAGATCCTACTAGAGCCCAGTCCTGCCCTCCAAATCAAGTCCAAATGCTTCCAGAGGCCGCAAGCCCCTGCCCGTAAGTGTCCCATAGGCTCCCCCTAAGCCTGAGCACCCGCTGCTCCCCAGGCTAGATGCTGTGTCTTCTCCCTAAGTAACTCCATGGTTCCCTAAAGTCTCAGTGGGGTGGGCTGATACCTTCTATGAGATTTCCCTGACCTACCCTCTCTCCTCCCATCACTTGCCTGCCCTTCCACTGGTTAGGTTTCCCTGCCAGCTACTCTAAATTGCCCATGCCAGGGTCTCACTTCCATCCAAAAGCTCTGGGGCAGAGGGGAAGAAATGTGCTCATTGTGTCCTATGCCCTCCTGACCACCCCCGCATCTGCGATTCTAGGCTGTGCTCTGTGCCTCAGGAGACTGACACATGGCTGGTGTTGCCCGGGCCTCTTGCCCTCTCTGGCTTCCATTTGGGCTAAAGCAATGGAAGGCACCAGGAAACAGGTGGTACTTTAACCCTCTCTTCTGGTCCCTTCAGGCTAAGGTGGGCTAGCAGCTCCCATTCTCACTAGCCCTGGGCGCTATGCCAGCCGGGTCAGGCCCCTTCACCCTGCCCACCCATGGGTTGAACCTGATGAATACATGGGGGGTGGGGTAGGGGGAGCTAGGAACCCCCAGGCAGCAGCCTCTGTAGCACATGGGCGACCAGGCCTCTCGGACCTGTGGCTGCTGGTGCTCTGAAGCCAGGTGTCATCAACGGGTGGGGGCACGGGTGTGGACACAGTGCTGGTGCTGATGTCCCCAATGATGTTGAGTGCCTCCTTGAGCGCATGGTACATGCGTAGCATGTCATCCCGCCGCTGGGCCTGGTCAGCTGACTCCTCCATAAGGCTGCTCTGGTCCGCCGATGAGTATAGGTAAGCCAGCAGCTCGTGGTGGATGAAGGCCTTCGTCTGGGGACAAGGGTCAGAAAAGTCAGGACTTCCCACCACACGGACCATGAACTCAGCTGACCACTGCAACTGGCTGGAAAAGCATCCATATCACACTAGACAGGGCATTCTTTGTCTTTTATTTATCATAGGACACATAAGTTGTTTAAAATGCAGGTGCGCTTTCTACCCAGCTGTGTTCCAAATTTCTCAGGGATGCTTTCAAGTGTTCTTCCAACCTACTTCAGAAGATTCTTATTAAATTTATTCCTAGAATCTTACCTCTCTTATTGCTATCTTTTCTGCTATTATTTTATCGTCAAACTGGCCTTTGTTCGAAAACTACAATAATGTTATAGGTCCTCCAATAACATTTATTTATACTGTTGATGCAATGTTGTAGGAACCTAACTCTTATTTATTTATATCAATTAGCCTATGGTATTTTTTTTTAAAGTATAGTTGATATACAATATTATATTAGTTATATTAGTTTCAGGTGTACATCAATTAGCATATGGTAAAATTGGTTTTGTTATATCTTATTTTGCTTGAAGTTGCAGAACCTATTGATGATAAGTGAGGACATATTGTACTAGTTTCTGTTCATTAATTTTAAACTTAGTTCCTGAATCTTCCTACAGGGTACAGTAGTTTTTCAGTTACTCTTCTTAGGGTTTCTAGGTACATATTCATGTGTACATGAGCTTCAAGAAATAGGAAAAAATTTTCCTATTCTTTTTTAATGTTCACACCTCTAAGTTATTTTTCTTGTCTAAGTGCATTGGCTAGTAACTCTACAAGAAAGTTAAATAAAAGTAGAAATGGCCAACTTGTTCTTGATTTTAGAGGCGATAATTCCAGAGTGTCCCTATTAAGGTCAAGAGTGGCCTGAGACTGTAAATACATAGATTCAGTGGATATATGACACCTAATAATAGAAGACTCCTACAAATTGTCTATATTGGAAATTTTCTCACACTTTCAAAATTTGCAAAGATGACCATGCTTGATAGTTTTTGACTTGTGAACCATGTGAATTCATCGGCTATTTAAACACTTAAATTTTGAGAAACTAGTGAAAGGAAAAATAAAATATAGTCTGAAGGTACAGAACACTCCTTTGTTCACTCTGGCCTCCTTAGCCCCCGATTTCCCCTTCTAGGAAGATTGTACAAACTCCCAGAGATTTCTATGCATATACAATATACATGTATTTCCCCTCCCTTTTTAAACAAATGGAACCTTCCTGTATATACTGTTATGCTCCAAACCTCTTGTACTTAATAATCAAAGTTATTATAGACATGGAGATATTCTTCATTCTTTTTGTGTGTGTGACAGAATGACTATTTATTAAACAGAGTATATTAAATGGATAGAAATTTCCAATATTTGGCCACTACAAAACAATGCCAAAAAGAATAACCATGTATGTGCTCAACTGGCATGTGGGAAAATTGTCTCTGTGGGAAGAATTCCTGTAAGTAGAACTGCAGGGTCAACGCATATATGCATTTAAATTTCAGAGCTGCAGAACCATTTATATCATAAATCTCATCTGTATGTGAAAAATATACCGGGGCACCCATGAAACTTAACACTGATCAACACTGAGGAGACTGTGAAGAAAGGAGTGAAAGGGAAGAAACAGGACTTTTGCTTTAGACGCTGTTATAGTTAGAGCTTTTTAGTCACAACACAAATCAAACCTGTTCTTACAGTTTCCTGAATACCTACTGCCGAGCCAAAGGCCTGAAAGTGTAAACCCAGCATCCTGGAGTGGGAAACATGAACATAGCTGCATTTCACCAAGGAGAAGCCTAAAGCCCTGAGAGGCTCGTGAGCCCTGGGGCAGGCAGGTAACTCCCGAGAGTAAGGGTAGGTTGGGCCACGGGTCATCAGGGAGCCGAGGCTGCCAAAACCAGGCAACAGCTGGGGATGGACTCGGTCTGGCTTTGAATCCCTCTTCTCACTCCTCTGAGTGGCTTGAGGCAGGTTGAGGCCCTCTCTGGGCCTCTGTTTTCCAGTCTACAAAATGGGGATGTAGCAGTCCCTCTTCTAGGGTTATTTTAAGCTAAAAAAATTAATTTAGAGAAAGTTGTGTTAGCTTCAGTTACCTAATTAATGGGAGTGTGAGCTCCATGTGGCCTGCACCTTCCAATTTCCCAGGAGAGGCTGGGAATCCTGATTTTGATGGTTAAAAGGTGGTGACCCACTCTAATTTTTTATTTCATACAGTGTTCAGGTCAACTATGGCTGTAGCTGCCCAGGGGCCCACCCCAAGACCGGCGGCCCTGGGGGACAGGCACTCACGTTATTAATCATGAGGTGCATGATGGTCTTTGGCATGAGGTCGCGGATAGACTTGTTGATGATGGCCACGTACGAGTCCACCAGGTTGCGAATGGTCTCCACCTGGCGCTCCAGCTGCGGGTCCATGGAGAAGGTGTTCTCCTGTGCGCCATCCTCATTTTCTGCCTGTAAAAGGGGAGGGGAGGCGGTGAGGGGTGATCTCAGCCTCAGGCAAGCATGGGGATGTCTCCCTTCTCTGGAAATTGCTTGCCCTGTCTCACCCACAACCAACCCTCCAGGGCTGGCCCCCGATGGTCACGTTGGCACCATGTGGCCCTGCCTATCCCTGGCCTGAGCTGCCTAGACGGGGTGACCATGGCCCAAAGTGGGCTAGATCCTCTCACTGTGGGGCTGGAACATGTTAACTTTGAGACCGAGGGTGGCCATGTTCTCTGCCGCCTCAAGGACGGAAGAGAAAACAAAGCAGACACGATGCCAGTACCTATGCATCCTTGTCCTTGGCTTCAGTTGGAGAATCTTCTGGGCCCTGATGACAAAACCCTCCCCCACTTTTCTGCTTTGTTTGCTCGAGGGTATTGGGCTACGTGCCTTCAGAGTTCTGGCAAATACAGCCTGGAAATGACCCATCCTGTGAGACCCCAGCCCCCTTCCTCTACAAGATGGGGTCAGCTCAGCAAAAGGTGTGCCGGCCAGACAGAGAGGAGCAGCTCCTCACCTGGTCCTTCTCGGGGTAGACACCAGCTCGAAGGAATGAGGCCTTCCAGCTATCTACGTCCTCCTGGGAGTCACAGGCCAGCTCAATCTGCCGCAGGTCCTTGTAAACGTTCCTGTGGTGGGAGGGAGAGGCATGTACTTGACCCTGACCATGGGTGTAGTGAGCTCTGGGGTCTAAGTGACTGGGGTTCACACTTAAACCAGACACTCACAACCAGAGGCTCCAGGATGATAGCAGCACCTGTACGCTATCCTGTCCCACAAAGTGGGCATGGCTGAGACGGCCAAGCTGCCCCAAAGCCTTTTGTGTGAGATTTGGGTTTGAGGTTAGGCACGGCTCTGTGACAGAGCTCTGGCCAATTGGTGATCAGTAAGCGGCTGCCCTGAGGGACTTCTGGAAGGAGTCGTGAAGGGAGAGACATGCCTTTGTTGCTATTCCTCCTCTTCCCTGCTGCCTGGAACATCATCAGCATGGCTGGAGTTTAGGCAGCCATCCTGGACAGAGAAGGAAGGCTAAGGAGTAAGGAGGGCCTGGGCCCAGATGCCTGTGGAGCTGCCTTGGATGGTAAAATCTGAACTTGATTTATATAAAACCCCCAAACTTCTATCTTGTTTCTTCTACTATTATTCTGGATTTTCTGAACTCTTAAATGAGACATTCGGTAATATCTTCACCCCCTACACAGGGGGCACAGGGACAGGGAAATGGGATAGCTGCCTTGATGTCACACAGCCCAAAAGAGCTTCCCAACAGAGCTGTCTCACTGCAGAGGCAGGCTCTCCCATGTGCCCCAAGGGCTTCTTGGACAGGGGAGGTGGGGGGAGCAGGGGGAATGAGCTTACAAGAGCAAAGGTTTTTGAAGCCAGCTGATGGCCAAAGGAGATTTCAGAGCTTTAGGCCTGTCCAGAACAAAGCAGGACAGAGCTTTTCTTACACAAAACAGGAGGCTCGACTGGAATTGGTGGTACAGACAGGGGCGCCTGTGAGCACCTGAGTCAGAGCCCTCCATGGCTGCATCACTTCATCCCAGTCTCTGCCCAGAGAGGTCTTCCCTGACCACCCATCACAGCGCCCATGGCATTTTCCTGATTCTCACCTGACTCCCTTTCTAGAATGTAAGACTCCAGGGCAGGGACTATACACAAGTGCTCAGTGGATGGTGTTGAATGACTGAAGGAGGCCATCGGTTTCCACCCTGGGACCCCATGGGCCCTCACCTCTGCTCTGTGTTGAAGATGGCGAAGACGTGCTTGTTGGACATGAAGCCCTTCTCTACATCACGGATTTTGAGGTTGTCCAGAGGCAGCATGTACTTCTTCTCTTTCTCCTGAAGGCGGAAGGGGAGGGGTCACCCTGGGCTGTTTAACTGAGCACCTGAGGATGCCCAGGGCTGGACTCTACCGCAAGGACTACTGCCAACACCTGATGCTTCTCTTATTGGTTACTTTACTCAGATTAACTCATCAGCCACCATCAACCCCTTGCTCAATCCTGCCCCAGCCATGCCAGCTTTCTTGATACTCTCTGAACATTCCAGGTGAGCTCCTGCCCCAGGGCCTTTGCACATCTGGGACTTCTGCCTTGAATGCTCATCCCTCCCAATGCCTTTGCAGATCCTCTTTGCCTCCCTCAGGTCTTTGTGCAGGATCCTCCTGGCAACGCCTCCCTGACCCTACCCGGATCTCTCTCCTACCCCCACTTCTCCCCATGGCACTTCCCCTCAGAACACAACACACCATATAATTTGCTTATTGACCTACGTTGCCATCTGTCACCCGGACTGAATTCATCAGTTCCTCAAGGGCAGGGACTCCTGTCTATTTTGGTCACTGCTTACACACAGTGGCTGCTCAAAACTGGCCAGCTCTGACTCTACCCAGAATCCACTTCTCCCCTCCAGGCTGAGGGAATGAAACCTTTAACTTGGCTACAGCCTCAGAACAAGACTGAGAGTGAGTTACTACTATGCTCCCATTTATAGACGGGAGGCTGAAGCACAGAGAGGCAGGTATCAGGGGTGGGGCTGGGATTTCGGATGATCCCAAAGCTGGAAAGCAAGGCCCCACTGAACTGATGCCTGAACCCCAAAACCACAGAAGTGTCGCTCGCTTCCTAAGGGCAGCCCCATTCAGGGAGTACCAACCAAGGGTTGGGCACAGCAGTCTTGATGGCTTCTGGGGAAGCAGCTCTGAGAGGACGCGTCCCTTGGCCAGGGGAATGGGCATGGGCATGGGCCTGATGAGTCACACTCAAGAGTCCAGTGCTCACCCACCAAGCACTTACTGTGTGCCCAGCACGGGGCTGGTGCATCATTGTTAGTCCTCACCGTAGCCATCTGTGGGTGTGGTACGCATGCATATACTAACTAGGTTCACATGGGGAAACCAGAGCACAGCGCCACATGACCCACAACACATCTCAAGGACCAATGAGAAGTGCTGCTCGCCCATCAGCTCACAGAACCCTCCCCATCCCTGCCAGGGAAGCATGACACTCATTGAAGGAAGTTGTCTGCCAAGGCCACACAGCAGGCAGAGTGGGCCACAGAGGGACATGTGTCCCAATGCCAGGTTTTCTCCACCGCCCTCCTGGTCTTTCACCTCCTGGGCAACTTTGGTGACCCACCCCCTCACCCAGCAGTTCATTTCTTTTCACCTATTTTGTCCCTGTCCACAGTAAGGCCCCAGAAATAGCCCAATATGTTGGCTGTTGCTTCCAAATTTAACAGCAGCCACAGTGATGGAGGGAAAGGGGCCAGAGGCTCCCTGGCTGGTGGGGGCTGGCTCAGAGTTTCAACACTATGGGCAGGGAGGCAGGAGCGAGCGGCAGGCTTGGTGTGTGGGCTCAGTCCTTTGGCATTGGGAGCTCAGTCCCTCCTTGGCTGTGTGCCCTTGAGCAAGTCACTTCCCCTCTGCCTTAGCATCTGTCAAAGGTGGACAGGAGTCTTGCCCTCCTGGTTTGAGTGAGGGTTCACACAAAGTCACAGTGTGCAAAAGTGCTAAGCACGTGCCCAACCCAGAGCTGATGCTTAGGAGGCGCCAGGGGTTTTCTTTTGTCTATCTCACTCTCCAGAGTGAGCCACTCTCCATAGCTCCAGTGGCTCCAGGGTCTGCCCACCAGGCTTTCGGCAGGGGGCAAGCAGGACAGAGCACTCCTTCAGGCTAAGCCAGTGAGACAGAAGAGGGGTTTGGTGGCCACTGAAATAACAGCCCCCACATTCAGGCTGCAGACTCAAGAGTCCAAGGGAGGGAGGGTGGTGAAGACATGGTGTACCAGTCATCCCAGGCAAGGCCTGGGGTCCTCCTATTTCTCAGGGAAGTTTTGGGGGCTTTAGAAGCGGCCAGGGTGGGAATCCCTGACCGGGAGTTTTGGAAGGGCCTTCACTGACCCCACCCTGCTGTGTCATGAGGCAGGAAGCTTCCAGTCAGCCAGACAGGCCAAGTAACTGAGTCACAGTCCTTTCAGACCCCAAGCAAGACGCCACATCTGGATCTGTTTATAGTGATTCCACCCAGAGCACGACGGCTGCCTTCCTGATGTTGCTGGCATGCACATGCGCGCGCGCGCGCGC